AGAAAAGGAAGAACAAACTTAGCAGAAGAAAATAATCATAATTAGAGCAGAAATAAATGAAAAAGATACTAGAAAGATGATGGAGATCAATGAAACAGAGTTTTTTTTTTAAGATAAACAAAATTGACAAACTTTTAGCTAAAAAAGTTACCAAGAAAAAAAAGATGACAAATTAATAAAATAATGAGAGAGGAGACAGTATAACTGATACCACAGAAATACAAAGGATCATAAGAGACTACTATGAAAAATTACATGCCAACAAATTAGATAACTTAGGAGAAATGGATAGACTCCTAGAAACACATAACTTACCAAGATTTAATCATGAAGTAATAGAAAAACTGAACAGGCCAATAATGAGGAGGGAGATTGGATAAATAATCAAAAAAATCCCAACATGCAACAGCATGATGAACCTAGAACACTTTATGCTAAGTGAAACAACTTGGAGAAAATACTGTATGGTTTCACTTATATTTAGGATCTTTTTAAATGGGGAAAAAAGCAAATTTCCTAAAAATGGGGATTAGAATGGTAGTTGCCTGGTAGTCCCCTAGGGGGAGAGAGAAATAGGGGAATGTAGCTCAAAGGGTACACATTTTCAGTTATAAAAAGATTAAGTTCTGAGCATGTACAATGTACAACATGTTAACTATAGTTAATATGCTTGAAAGTAGACCTTAAACATTCTCACCACCCATATGCAAAGTTGACTATGCAAGGTGATGGATGTGTTAAGTAACTTTTTCTTGGTAATCATTCCACAATATGCATGCTTATCAAATCAACAGGTTGTACACTTTAAACATATATAATTCTATGTGACAGTTACTCCTCCATTTATGAAAATGAAAAAAAAAGAGGAAATGAACATTGGTACATACTAAAATCTAATCCTCAGACTCCATTCAAATCTTCCCAGTTTTCCTAATAACACTTTTTTATAACAAAATGATTTAGTGTAGAACTACATACTGTTTTGAGTTGACACATCACATTGTCTCTGCTCTGGACATTTCCTCAGTCTCCTTGGTATTTAGGAGGATTACAGGCCAGTTAATTTTGTAGGATGTTCTAAATTTGGGTTTGTCTGATGTGTCTTCAGGATTAGATTCAGGGTATACCTCTTTCATAGGAATATCACAGAACATATGCTGTGTTCTTCTAAGTGAAAGAAGTGGCATTTGATTCAAATAGTCCATTAATAATTATATCATTGGATTAAAGTGGTGTCTGCCAAGTTTCTACATGGAAAGTTACTTTTTACCCCTTTATATTAATGATTATTTTGTGAGTAGTTTTAAACTTGATAAATATCCATTATTTATCACACTTTCTGATTATTCATTTATGGATTTATATCAATAAGGATTCATGGCTTCCTTTTAAATTCAGTGTAACGTAATCCACTTTCATTATTTATTTTGATATCAAAATTGTTTCCTGGGGATCCCTGGGTGGCACAGCGGTTTGGCGCCTGCCTTTGACCCAGGGCGCGATCCTGGAGACCCGGGATCAAGTCCCACGTCGGGCTCCCGGTGCATGGAGCCTGCTTCTCCCTCTGCCTATGTCTCTGCCTCTTTCTCTCTCTCTCTCTCTCTCTGTCTCTCTCTGTGTGTGACTATCATAAATAAATAAATAAATAAATAATAAATAAATAAATAAATAAATAAATAAATAAATTTAAAATTGTTTCCTATTTTGTTAGTGGGGAACTTTTCATGCTAGCTCTTGTATCATTTTATCATATTTCCATTATTCTTTGAGCAGTTTCTTGCTTTCTGGTATAAACTGGTTTGTGTTCATTGTGTGCTCTCTCTGCCTTAGCTGTGCACTTAGCCATTTCTCCAAGAAGCCCTAGTTCATTTAGTAGTGAAATGTTTTCTTTTTTTAATTTTTAAATTGAAATGTAATTGACTTTATGTTAGTTTCAGGTATGCAATGAAATGATCCCATTTATATATATATATATATAGTAAAACGATCATCACAGTAAGTTAACATCTATCACCACATAGTTAAATTTTTTTTCTTATTATGAGAACTTTTAAGATCTGCTCTTTTAGCTACTTGCCCATATGTAGTACAGTACTATTGTTACTCTGCTGTACATTATATTTCTATGACATTATCATTCCATTTATAATTGGAAGTTTGGACCTTTTGACCACCTTCACCTATTTTTCCCACCCCCTTCCCCTACCTCTTATAGCCACTGATCTGTTTTCTATATCTGTGAGTGTGCTGCTTTTTGGTTTTGTTTTTTAGATTCCACATATAAGTGAGATCATTTCCCTGACTCATTTCACTTAGCATAATGCCCTCAAGGTCCACCCATTTTGTTGTAAATGGCAAGATTACCTTCTTTTTTATGACTGAATAATGTCCGTTGTATATTTACGTCAAATTTTCTTTATCCATTCATCCATCAGTCTGACTTAGGTTGTTTCTGTGCCTTAGTAAATAGTACATGAGGATGCAGATATCTTTTTGAATTAGTATTTTTATTTCCTTTGGATAAATGCACAGAAGTGGAATTGATGGATCATATGGTAGTTCTGTGTTTAATTTTTGGAGGAACCTCCATACTGCTTTCTATGGTAGCTGCACCAGTTTACATCCCCAGCATTAGTGCACAAAATTCTATTTTGATATCAAGATTTGTACTCTAGGTGTGATCAATAAAGAGATCTAGGAGAATGTGGTTATGAATTTGTGTGTGTATGTGTGTATGCTGTGGTACCATGTGTGTTTATCATGAGCTTTGGATGAATGATAGAAAAAATAAGCAAAAATTCAGTTGAAAGATAAAATCTTTCTTTTAAGTTTTTTTCATTTGTTTTTATTGAAGTTCCATTTGCCAACATATAGTATAACACCCAGTGCTCATCCTCAGTGCCCATCACCCAGTTACCCCAACCTCCCACCGACCTCCCCTTCCTCAACCCTGTGTTCGTTTCCCAGAGTTAGGAGTCTCTCATGGTTTGTCTCCTTCTCTGATTTATTCATTTATTTATTTAGACAGTATGAGCAGGAGAGAGGCAGAGGGAAAGGGGAGAGAGAATCTTAAGCAGGTTCTGCGCTGAGCATGGAGCCTGATGCAGGACTTGATCCCACAACATAGATCATGACCTGAACCAAAATCAAGTGTTAGACATTCAACTGACTGAGCCACCCAGGCACTCCAAAAATTTTTTTTAAAAGATTCTTTAATGAAAATACAGAAATGGAAATCTAGAAATAGTTCTAGAGAAAATATAACATGCACCAAAATATGGTCCAACTTGCCAGATGCCCAAGTCCCCTCATAGGCATATAAATATGGATAAAATCACCATAGGAGAGAAGCTTTTACTTATTGTAAGATGCTTTCTTTGCCATATTCATTGGCTAGGGAGTGGATAGAAGGAATCTCACTCTCCCACACAACTAACTCTCTAGAGACTCAGGAGACATGCCTGCCTACTCAAGATGCAAGAACAAGCCCAGCACATTCTGCAGTTTTCTGTGAAGCTGAGATAAGCAATGGCTGATGTCCCAGGAGCATCTCCCAGTAGCCCAGATTTCCTTCTGTGTTTCTGTCAAAGTATAGATCTTAACCACACTTTATACTTAATCACAGTATAGTTCTTAAATAGATATTTTTTTCAGAGAGGATATCAAGGTGGCCAACAGGCATGTGAAAAGATGCTCGATATCAGTAATCATCAGGGAAATGCAAATCAAAACCACAATGAAATATCTCACCTCATTCGAATGGGTTATCATCTAGAAGAAGAGAGATGAGTGCTGGCAAAAGGTGAAAAGGATAGTCATATACATTGTCAGTGAAAGACAATAGGAAGGTTCCTCAAAAAATTAAAAATAGGTCTACCATACAATCCAGCAATTCCACTTCTGGATGTTTATCCGACAAAAATGAAAATGGGATTTTGACAAGATATATGCAGCATTGTTCACAATAGACAAGATACAGAAACAACCCAAATGCCTATCAACAGATGAGTATTTTAGAAATGTGTGGTGCATATACGAAGTGGAATATTATTCAGCTATGGGAAAGGAGGATGTCTTGCTATTTTGCCACAGCATGGATAGACCTTGAGCACAATATGCTATAAGTAAGATAAGTCAGAAAGACTTAAGTACCATATACCATTAGTATGTGGAATCTAGATAGTCAAGCCTGTAAAAAGACCCAATGAAATGGTGGTTACCAAGGGATAGGGGTATGTTGGGGGGGTAAGATTTATAATGTTTAAGGGTACAAACTTGTAAAGAGTAAATAAACGATAGAGATATAAAATAAAAATAGAATGGAAATACTAAGCAAAATATACTCGAAGAGCTTTAATTGTGTTTTAAGTTTTTAAGTTTTTTTGTTTTTGTTTTGTGGACCCAGAGAGGTTAGTAATATGGGGGGAATATATATGAAATAGGCGTGTGAGACTAGTTGAAAATAAAGAGCTATCGAAGAGCAGGAAATACTTCTGGTATTTTATGAAACTTCTAGCCTAGATAAGAAAAAGCCACCAGAGCAAAAAGTTTTAATGGCTTTTTTTAATAATTGAAAATTTTAGTTATGAATATTTTTTTACCTTCCCTCCAATGTGGGTAATTTGAAAAAGTCACTTGGTTCTTCCAGTTCTTTGAAATAGAATCTATTTCTAGTCTTCTCCATGTTTCTTAGATTTTTATGCTACACACTGTCTCCTTCTGGCTAGAAGAGAAGTTAACACTTGACTCAGACACTCCCCTGATCTCATCTTGCCTTTGGGGCAGGTGGATACCATCTTGCTTTCTTAGATTTTGTTTTCTGTGGTAAGCTGGTAATTGGCACCACCTTCAGCTGGGGTATGTAATGGCGCAGTGGTACCGAGGTGGTTTTGCCGTCTCTGTGTCCTGTGCTGGAGGAAGATAGACCTAGACTGTGGGATGCACATCTGTACATAACTGATGATGACTGCCTTTTTTGCCTCCCATTTTTGTCATGACAGGGAAGGTCTTGCATGAGGAGCATGTTGAACTCTTGATGGAAGAGTTTGCATTCCTGAAAAAAGAAGTGGTGGGGAAAGATCTGCTGAAAGGATCTCTTCTCTTCACAGGTCAGTTTGAGGTGGGATCACAGGTCATGTGTAACTGACGAGGCTGGAGGGCTAACTGGGTTCTTTCCTAGTTCTTCAGGATGTTAGTTAGGATTCATTTTTGATAAAGACTCTTTAACTGAAAGCCAATTTTTTTAAATTTATTTATGATAGTCACAGAGAGAGAGAGGCAGAGACACAGGCAGAGGGAGAAGCAGGCTCCATGCACCGGAAGCCTGTGGAATTCGATCCCGGGTCTCCAGGATCGCGCCCTGGGCCAAAGGCAGGTGCCAAACCGCTGCACCACCCAGGGATCCCCCCTGAAAGCCAATTTAATGTAATCTTCCCATGCTTCCAAAAACAATAAAAATACCTATTTTTCTTCTTTCCTCAAATGAGATTTAAGTGCTTGATGGGGAGTATGTTTGAAATCTAAAGTTTACTAATGCTTCTGTCCCAACCTATTATGTGTAGAATTTTCCTCATTAAATCTTAATAAATTGGAGATTGTTTTTCCATAGGAGGCAAATGGGCAGAGACAGGTTCTTGGGAAGGAGAACATTTTTATTCTCTTTGCAGAGCAAATAGAATATGCATAGCCCCTTTCTTCCTCCAGTAAGTTACAAGGACATTGGTTGCAACCAGAATATTTGATCTACTGCTTATTTGATTATTTACTTTATGTTGGTCATTATTTGAGTAGCTCCATTAGCAATAGGAAATGAGCATCCTAGAGTCTCCTGCTCTTGGGTTTACCTTTGGATGGACTCATCTGGCTACACCACAGGGTATCTGGGCTACCTTTCCTGAGGGCTCTCCTTACAGAAGCAAAACCCTGACATTGCATTGTTAAGTGGTAAAACCATTCATCTCCTCATGAGTTTCCAGAAAATAACACTGGGACCTCATTTTGAAATCCACTTTCATCTTTTAAAATAGCGATAGAGTTTTAACAAATAATAACCATAATCTGTGCAAAGAACTGTGCTAAGTTTATGACATGCATTAGTTCATGTTAATCCGTATGATAATCCTATAAAGTAGGTATTTATGCCCCCATTATACAGGAAAGAAAGGAAGATCAGAGATGTGGGTAGCTTCACAAAGCTGACAAAAATAGCTATATGGAAAAAAAAAGCTATATGGCAGAGTCAGATCCGAGCTCAGGCCTCTGACTTCACGCTCAAACATTTCATTGCTGCTCTGTCCTCTATAAAGCACAAGAGCAGACAGTAACCAGCTGAGGAGGACAAACCTTTCTTTATAAGTTTGATACTTAGGTCCTAGTGATTTCAAACCATGATGTCTATGAAACAAGTTTTTTGGCTTGTTTTTTTTTTTAAAGATTTTATTTATTTATTCATAGAGATGCAGGGACAGAGAGAGAGAGAGAGAGAGGCAGACACAAGCAGGCTCCCTGCAGAGAGCCTGATGTGGGACTCCATCCAGGGTCTCCAGATCACGCCCTGGGCTGCAGGCGGCGCTAAACCGCTGCGCCACCGGGGCCGCCCAGTTTTTTGGCTTTTATTTATAATTCGTTTTCTTTTTCAAAGTATAGCCATAATTACAAATTTCTTTCAAGTCAATATCAAATTTATGAAAAATAATTGGTTTATAAAGAATTGTAACAGGTATGTAGTCTTTTAAATTTAGGTTATCGGGCAGCCGGGGTGGCTCGGCGGTTTAGCATTGCCTTCAGCCCAGGGCGTGATCCCAGAGACTCCGGATCGAGTCCCACATCAGGCTCCCTGCATGGAGCCTACTTCTCCCTCTGCCTATGTCTCTGCCTCTCTCTCTCTCTCCCTGTGTCTCTCATGAATAAATAAATAAAATCTTTTTAAAAATTTAGGTTATCTTTATAATTTGGGGTGGAGACAGTTGGGAGCAAGATCTTGGCCACACCTATTTCTCACACAAATATTCTTTTGAGTGTGCTTTTGCATAGGAGATTATGAAGACTAAGAAAACACTTAATGCTGTATCAATCTTCTTAATATTGACTTAGTTTGTAGATATTGCTGTTTTCTTCCTAGTTATCATAGCTGTGGCATTTACAGACAGCTATATAGTATTTATAGGAATTTAGACTTGGGGGGATCCCTGGGCGGCGCAGCGGTTTGGCGCCTGCCTTTGGCCCAGGGCGCGATCCTGGAGACCCGGGATCGAATCCCACATCGGGCTCCCGGTGCATGGGGCCTGCTTCTCCCTCTGCCTATGTCTCTGCCTCTCTCTCTCTCTGTGTGACTATCATAAATAAATAAAAAAATTTAAAAAAAAAGGAATTTAGACTTGGGGGACTGAAATACCTTGATTCTTCTTCTTTTACAAGACTTCTTTAAATGACTCACTAAACAAGGTATAGATGTATGTATATATGTATACTGTATGTGAACTAAACATCCATACCCATATCTAATATTAAAAACCTGAAATATTTTTTATTATCCTGCGGGCTAGATGGCTTACTGTTTCTAATAAAATATCTTATTTTCCTAACAAAATTGAATTAAATAAACAAGAAAATGGAGAGATGCTTTTATGAAAGTTTTCATTCAGGCACCTAAATATGAGTAGTTATCTTGCACAGCACGCTGTGAAGCAGGGTCACTTGGTCCCAATCACTTAGCCATGGCCCCCTGCCCACAAGCTTCTTCTGCTCTCCAGCTGTCGGTTACTTTCCAGTTCCCATGGTGTTTGTGATTCCCCACAGCTGGCCCATTGGAAGAAGAGCGGTTTGGCTTCCCTGCGTTTAGTGGCATTTCTCGCCTGACCTGGCTGGTCTCCCTCTTTGGGGAGCTTTCTCTTGTATCCGCCACATTGGAAGAACGAAAGGAAGATCAATATATGAAAATGACTGTGTGCTTGGAGACAGAGAATAAACGGTAGGTGGTGAGGAGCCGTGCAGAGAAGGAAACTTGAGGGCATTGTTGTGTGTTCACAAAGGTGAATTTAGACAGAGCCCAGAAGGCCTAGACCCCACCCCCAACACCAGAAGGGCTGTGTTTTTATAGACAAAATACATGCTGGGATTTTACTTATACTGCCTCATTTCAGCCTCACAGGAGCCTTGAAAGGTAAATAAGACAAATTTGAGCCCCTCTGCCAGGAAGTGAATAGAGGCTTATAGAATTTGGGCAGGTTGCCTCTGCCACAAGTAAGCAGTATGAGAGGTAGTAGCAAAAATCCAATTATCTCTGTGACCTGAACTTTTTCTAATTTTATTATGAAAGTTTCAGACATATGGTAAAGTTGGAAGAATTTTGCAGCGAATACCCAAAACTACTACCTAGATCTTGCCACTGACATTTTACCTGCTGGCTTATTATCACACGTGCAAATATTTATCCCTCAGTGTGACCAAAACTTAAAGTTCTATTTCTCAGGTTTATCGTATATCCTGTCATACTGTTCCCCAAATTTTCTGATTCTTTATTTTGCATACCCAGTTTTTTAAAACAAAAGCATATTCATAGTTATCCTTGAAAAGCATTTAGGCCCTGCAAAATATCTAAAACAGCAAGTGTTTTATAGTGTTTGTAGATGTGTTTCCAGGAAAGTGAGTCTCTTGGTAATAAAAGCAGCAGATGGATATTTACAAAAAGAGAAAAGTATTTGAATTCCTAAATGTAGCCTGATCTATGTCCATTTGAGGAGTTCCCTCTTTGCTAGGGAAAGGCAGAGGTCATAGATGAAGGAAAAGCATGCAGAGCTTGGAAGTGCTGTGTTTGGAGTAATCGTGCTGGTCGACCCTGGCTCTGACTCCGACATTGTGTTAGAATTGCAGCTATGGTCTGTCCATCCCCGCAGACAGGTGCGGTCTCCTGTAGCCAGAGCTAAAGGTAGCTCAGTGTGCTGCAGGAGCACAGGAAAGGGGAACCTGGAGAGGTAAGGTCATGCTTCTCAGAGGAAAAGATGCTTTGCTCAATCTTGAAATTTGAGTAGGAGTTAGACAGGAAACAAGATGTGAGCAAAGTAGAGACGGACTCTTGCAAACTGGAGCAAGCATCAGGTGAGGGGTTGGGACAGATGGCAAATCCATATTATAATTAATTCTTAATTTCAAACAATGCTTTCTACTTCACAGACTGTACTTTTAATCTCACACAACCACAACTGCATAGGTAAAGCTGTATACTTCTTATTCATATTCACAATGAGGAAATTAAAGTGGAGGAAACATCCTGATGTTTTGCATTTCCTTAAATTTAAAGTTTGACTCCCTGTTATATGGAAGGACATGAGAAATTTTCTTGGATGGCAGAATGTTTGGAGTATCTCAAACTTCTTTGTATCCAGTGTTAAAGCAGTGAATAAACAGCATTAATATTCATTTTTGTCATTGCATTGTGGAATGTTTTAAAGCCTGTACAATGTACTTTAAAAAATATTTTTTTTATATTTTATTTTTTTTATTTATTTATGATAGTCACACACAGAGAGAGAGAGAGAGAGGCAGAGACATAGGCAGAGGGAGAAGCAGGCTCCATGCACCGGGAGCCCGATGTGGGATTCGATCCCGGGTCTCCAGGATCGCGCCCTGGGCCAAAGGCAGGCGCCAAACCTCTGCACCACCCAGGGATCCCTAAATAATATTTTTTATTTAAATTCAATTTGCCAACATATAGAACACCCAGTGCTCATCCCATCAAGTGCCCATCACCCAGTTACCCCATAACCCACCCACCTCCCCTCTGCAACCCTTTGCTTGTTTCCTAGAGTCAGGACTCTTTCATGGTTTGTCTTCCTAATTTTTCCTCACTCAATTTCCCTCCTTTACCTTATAGTCCTTTTTGCTATTTCTTATATTCCACGTATGAGTGAAACCATGTGATCATTGGCTTTCTCTGATTGACTTATTTCACTCAACATAATACTCTCATCATGTGCTTTTAAAACTAGCTGTGGGCTGAGCACCTGCGTGGCTCCGTCCATTAAGTATCCACCTTCGGCTCAGATCATGATCCTGGGGTCCTGGGATCAAGCCCTGAGTCTGGCTCCCTGCTCAGTGGGGAGAGTCTGTTTCTCCCTCACCCACCGGCCCTCTCTCTGCTCACGCTCTCTCTTGCTCTCTCTCAAATAAATAGAAATATTAAAAAAAAAAAAAACTAGCTGTGGGCTGAAACTAGTATAGTCACTTATACCTCAATTCAAACAAAAAAAAAGTAGCCATGGAATTTAATATTTTAGGAGTAAGACCTACTTTTTGATGAGAGTTTGTAAAAATCATTTATTTTTAAAAATCTGAGTCAATGCAAAATTTCTAGATGATTGGACACCTTAGTTTTACTAGTTTACTGATTTAACTATGGTCTCTTAGATTCTTTGTCTGACCTGAATATGAATTTTTGATTTATGGGCTATCATTGATTCATATATAGGTCATTTTAATGACTTCTAGAATAGAAAACTTGCTTAACTGTGGCTCTTCAGAACAAATGCATCCCTGCTCAGTTTACATGGCCCTTGGTGTAGTGTGCCCTGTGACAAAGAAAAGCCATCTTCCTGCAAATGCAGTCTTGGCTCCCAACAGTGCCTGGGAGGAATGCTTGGGACCTGTGGGCTTCTTTTCTCTCTCCCCCAAAGCTTGTCTCAGTCTGCAGACCAGATTTCTTACAGCTACAAGATGTCTTTCTTGTTGTTACTACACATTAGGAGCCTCTGTCAGTTGTTTCCGACACAATTTGTTAAGTTATAGCTGCCTTCAAACGACACCGTAGAATACAGCAGAATAGCTGTGGACAGGGAGGAGAGTAGGCATGATCTTGAAGGGTCATCATAAAAGGATTTGCAAGACCAGGATCCTTACCTGAATCCCCATTGTGCCAATGTTAGTGTTAGTGAATGCTTATTGAGTGCTTCTATGTGCGAGGACATAGCCCTTTAACAAGGATTTTCTCATATAATCTTTATACCAACTCTTTGAAGTGGCCATTATTACTATCACCTAGGAAACTGAGGCTCGAAGCAGTTTAGAAACTTGCTAAGGGCCCAGAACTAAGTGATTGTGTGAGACTCACACTTAGCCTGTCGCCTGACTCCAGAATGTCATGTCTTCTCCCCAAAGTGCATGGGAGGGGCACAAGAAAGGACTATCCTAGAAAACACACCAGGCCCTGTCTTTCCCTACAGCAGTCCTCACCCACCAGTGAGGCAGGTATCGCTGTCTTAGATCCCAAGGTCATCCAGGAAACCCCAGTGCAACTGATTCTTTTGCCCATGTTCTCTCCATCATACCAGCAGTTTTCACACTTTGTAAAAATAAACAGAATACTTTTTTTAAAAACAAATATTACGTGGATACTTACGAGTTGTAAGTCTGAGCTCTCTTGTTGAAGCCAGCTGGTAGGAGTAGGGTCGAAGGCATGCTTGGTGTTGACTGCTCTCCCTTCAGGGCCTGGAGAGAGCACTGTTAGAAATCACCACCTCCACCAGGCTTGCAGGCACATGCTGGTACTAGGGATATAGATGTAGTTGAACACCTCCATGTAGAAGGTGAGAAGCAAGCAGCATTTTTATAGGCAGTCCATGCTCAAGGAGACAAATGCAAATATTTGCAGATGAAAGTTTAATGAAGGGGAAGAGTGGAGGAGCTGTGAATTCAAAGCTTGTGTTTTGGGTTGGGATGTCTGGATCTAAGTGTTGTCCGAGCCCAGAACTTTAGTGGACCACGTCCCATCCTAACCCTACTCCATTCAGTTGGCAGTCAAGTGCCAGCAGTCAATATCCTCACTTAAATACATGATTAGGAGATTAGGAAACCAGAACTTTTCAAGTTTTTAGCTGATAGGCCCTACAAAATAAGGGACTTATTCTGTTAACATCTTCCTGGTGTCTCCCTGCATGTTTGGGTATTGGCATGGCTTCCCCTTTATGTACTTCAGATCTTCTCTTAAACATTCACCTTTGCATTCTAGTGTGGGTCTTGGTAAGCTAGGTTAGTCAAAGAGGTTCATAGACTTTTTGAGAATGTATTGAAAGCACTCTAAAAACTCATTCCATTAAAATGCACATACACATGGAAAAAACAGTTTTGCATGGATTGCCTGTAGCCCTTATCTGGATCCCTTAGATCTGTGATACTCAGGGTAAAAACAAATGAGAGAGGGGAGGGGGGAAGGAGGGAGAGACAAGGGGGAGGGGGCTCGGGTGGGGCAAATAGGTGACGGGGATTAAGGAGGGCACATGTTGTGGTGAGAACTGGGTGATGTATGGAATTGTTGAATCACTATATTGCACACCTGAAACTAATTTAACACTATGTAAATTAACTGGAGTTTAAAACTTTTAAAAGAGTTATGGATAAGGCAGTCACAAAAGGAAAAAACAAGCAACGGATGGTCACACAAAAATCATTGAATGAATTCTATTGTTTAATGGCAAAATTAAATGAAGGACTGTTTGGCAGTAAAGTTGGGAACAATCACCCAAGGCCTCTGGGTGGCTGGTGGAGGTCAAGATGCCACCTGAGACACTACATTGAGCAGCAGCTTCAGGGAAGATGGGTACAAAATGAAGACCTGTTACCAGGTTCTCAGGTACCAGCAAACATCCACTTGCTCTCCCTTGTAATTTCTAACATTTGTGATTCTTTTGTCTTTGCAGTCCACTCACATGGATTGAAGAGAAAGGGCCTGGTCTAAAACGAAACCGACATTTAAGCTTCCATTTTAAATCTGGTTCCCTGGAGAACATGCCAAATGTAGGAGTCAATAAGAATATTTTCTTGAAAGATCAAAATATATTTGTCCAGAAACTTTTGGGTCAGTTTTCTGAAAAGGAGCTGGCTGCCGAAAAGAAGCGCATCCTGCACTGCCTATGGCTCGCAGAAGAAATCCAGAAATACTGCTACTCAAAGAAGTGAAGGATGCATGCAGCACTTCTAAGATGGGACCATAGTTTCCTTTTTATGAAGAGTTGACCTTTATTCTTACAATTAAACATATCTTGGGTAAACAGACTTTGTTTACTGTCCCGAACTGTGTTGGGAGTGATATTTGGGGTTTGGGGGCATATGGCATAGGCACGAGGAAAGAACTGACCTTGGGTGAATTGAGCTAAATGCTTCATATTCCTGATTTCGTTCACTCTTCCCAATAGCTCTATCAGATGGGGTTAGTTTACCAGGTTTGTTTTCATTAGTACGTTAGAAAATCTTGTTTGAAGTCACCTAGATATTAAAAACCAAACCAGCCTTTAAACTCTGCTCATGTACTGAGCCACTGCAAAATAGTACTTAGAAGCCTATTTTTTTTTTTAAGATTTTATTTATTTATTCATGAGAGAGATAGAGAGGCAGAGACATAGGCAGAGGGAGAAGCAGGATCCATGAAGGGAGCCCAATGTGGGACTCAATCCCGGGACTCCAGGATCATGCCCTGAGCTGAAGGCAGATGCTTAACCAGTAAGTCACCCAGAGGTCCCCCCTCCCCGCTTTAAGGAATTTTATTTCCCTCAACAAACTTTCATTGGGTGACTATGGTAGGTGCCAGGGATTCTAAAAATGAGTAAGACATAGCCACTGCCCTCAGTAACTCACAGTGTTGGGATCCCTGGGTGGCGCAGCGGTTTGGCACCTGCCTTTGGCCCAGGGCGCGATCCTGGAGACCCGGGATCGAATCCCACATCGGGCTCCTGGTGCATGGAGCCTGCTTCTCCCTCTGCCTATGTCTCTGCCCCTCTCTCTCTCTCTCTCTGTGGGACTATCATAAATAAATAAAAATTAAAAATTAAAAAAAAAATAACTCACAGTGTTGAAAGGGAACCAGTCACACAAACCAGTCATTGTAATGGAATAGTTCCAGTAAAAAAGAGATGCCCCTGGTCATCTGGAGGAAGGTTCAGGGAAAATCCACAAACCAGATCTTGAGAACTAGGTTAGCTGTGTAAAGATCAGAGGAGGACTTTCCTGGCAGAGGACTGACCTGAGCAAAGAGAAGCAAGAAACAGCCTGGAACGGTGTGGCTGGAGCATTGTCTTTGGAGGAGGGAGTCCCAGAGAGGTGAATCTGATTGTGGGATCGTGATAAGCTAGATGAAGGAGCTGGGGTCTTATATGTTAGGCAGTACAGAGGCACTGAAGGGTGTTATTTAACAGGGGAGTGATGTGGTCAGGTTTCCAATTTAGGTACTCGGAGGGCTGCCAGGAGGAAATGAGACTGGAGACCAAGAAGGAGGCATCCAATTGAGACCCAGCAAACGTGTTCATACTTGCAGCTCTTGGTTTGTCTAGACTTCATAGCTCCTGTTGAGAGACTGCTGACCCTGAGGCAGATTCCCAGGAATCTGCTCTTTCATTCCATTGGTGGTCTTGTGGCCTTTTTTTCAAAGCTTGTGTTAGATTTCTTGCCTTTGTGTCTCCCTCTTGCTTTTTGCCAACCACCACCCCACTGTTAGGTTTAACCAGTTCAGGAGCTAGGAAGTCATTGATGTCAGCACTCTGTTTTCTACCTCGGTTTCCATTGTTCTGTCACCATATACCTCAAGGTAAAACAGGCAGATATATTTTTTTAAATCTAAAACCCAAAAATCCTTAAGATTATTCCTTTATTTGCTATGTAAAACAAATTAATAAATCTCAGTCAGTTGGTTCTCTTGTTTTATTATTCACATCAAATATCCCTGGAGGCCAGGACATATATGTAATTTTGTATGCTGTACAGGATCTAGCATGAGGCAAATATCAAATATGATTAAAATGTAGTGCAATAGCCTCTCCCATTTGGGGCTAGTAACTCTATTTCAAAAACATTAGCCATATTTGATATTAAGAGGTGGGCATGAATATCAAAACCAGAGCTGTACAGTAAAGTAGTATAAGCCAATTTTAGTCAAGACATTTGCAATAGAGGAAAATAGACTTCAGTATAGAACCAGGCTCAATTCCAAATACAGCATGGCCAAATGGGGGGCTTATAGCCAAAGGGCAGGGTGGGGATCAGTGGATGCAAAATGACTAAGAGGAAACATCAAGGGTGGGGGCATTCTGTCTAAACCAACTTGACAAGGTTCTTCCCGAAGGTAGGCCCAGCAGGAGGTACTAGGGCTGGGAGATGAGGGATTTGATCAGATAGGGTAGGAATGCTTACAGAACTGACTTAGTAGGACTTCTGCTAAATTGGGCAATGCGAAGACAGATTTGGAAATGCAAAGGTCAAGGTCTAGTTGAGAAAAGGGTTCAGAGCAAGCTGACTAAAGTTTGATCAAAGTCTGTTATGGGATGTATGATTACTAACTGATGACTACTCATCTCAAGCTTATTTCATGTGTAGTCAAGAGACTAAAAATGAAAACATCCATTAGTTTTACTAATTGGCAAGAACTGCAGAAGGAGAAGGAAGGGGAGATGAGAAAACAGAACCTGGGGAAATGGAGCAGCAGTCCTTTATTTTAAAAATTATTTATTTAAATTCAATTTAATACATGTGTAAAAAAAATAAATTTTTAAAAAAGGTAAAAAAAAAAAAGTAAAAATAAATAAATAAATTTTTCAAAATACATGTGTATTATTACTTCCAGGGGTAGAATTTAGTGATTCATCAGTCACATATAACACTCATTTACATCAAGTGCTCATTACATAAAGTGCCTTCCTGAATGCCCATCACAGTCACCCCATCCCCACCCATCCTCAGTTTGTTCCCTATATTTAAGTGTCTTATGATTTGTCTATTTTTACCTTATTTTTTCTTCCCTTCCCCTGTATTCACCTGTTTTGTTTCTTACATTCCACATATGAGGGAAATCATAAGGGCTTTCTCTGACTATTTCACTGAGCATAATACCCTCTAGTTCCATCCGTATGGTGGAGCAGCAGTCCTTACTCTGTTTACAACTAACTGCCCTCCACGTACTCTGGGGCTACTGAAGCCATTCTGGCTCTACCCTAATAATATCCTACATTATCTGAGTACTCCTTCCTCTGAAAGCCACCCAATAGTACTTCTCTTCCAGGGTTTCACTGAAGCAATGAAGCCACAAGTATCTGTTGCCATTTGTATAAAGTACCCAAAAGATGGTGAGCTTTGCTCTTCTCCCCTGCCTTAAGGCTATCTTGACTTCCCTGGAACACTTAGTGGGAGAAGGGGGGATTTGAGGTCTGAGATTTCAGAACAAATTTGGCTTTCTGTCCAACTAAAAAAAAGCCTTTTATCCTACTGTACTTGTAAGTGCTGCGGGTCTTGTACTATACTTGTACTTTATCCCACTATGCTTTTAAGTGTTAGGGGATCCTCCAGGAGGAAAGTAGTGCCCTTGATCCCTCTTCTCCTCACCCACTTCTGTGGTAGGAGCAACCTGCCTTAGTGGTAAAGCTTCAAGAAAGAGACTAAGCAGCAAAGCACAGTTATCCTCCAGATGCATCTGAGTTCTGTTTGTCCATGTGGCAGGTAGCAGGGGAAGGCTCTTCCTCTGCAGTGGGATGATCTGAAGCTTAGAAAGTTAAGTTATTCAAAGGGGAGAGTAGCAAACCTATTTGGCTATAGAACCTAGCTACATTCCCCAATCAACTTGATCATAACAAAACATTCTTTTTAAAAAAAAAAACTCCATCTTTCTCCTGCATTTATAGCTGAATTGGTCCCCAGATTTGGAAAGGAGAAAAAGAAATATTCTTTGCTGGTCTCTTAAATCCTAACAATAAATTCTCTCATGGTCCACTGCTGGAAGGAATCACGGGGGAAAAAAATTTTACACTGGAGTTCCTCAAGAGGAGACTTCTTTTTGGGAAAGTCCCTGCGAAGCCAGTGCATTAGTATTATTGATGTTGGAGATGGAGGGGGATGGGAGGGGCGACTGTAATAGAAGCAGAAGCCTTGCAGACCTAGGTTGATGGGTTGAAAGGAAAAAGATAGACATGCCTCTCTCCAAAAGTAATTAACAGGGATTTAGTGCAAAAGATGGGGAGTAAGAGGCTCAAGACAACTAAGTCTTTGATACTCAAAATGTGGTATGCTGACCAGCAGCCTTGGCTTTGGCTTAGCCTGGAAACTTGTTAGAAATGCAAATTCTCAGGCCTCAGACCTACTGACCCAGAATCTCCTTTTGAATAGGTTTGCCCAGATTAGTCTCTTGGAGCTTTTGGACTAGTAAGGAAGAAACCCAAATGTTATCAAATATTAGCACAACTACGAAGAATACTAAAAAGAGGATTTAAAAATCTTGTGCCAGGGAAGAGTTTTTCTAGGCAAGAAGTTAGGAAAGCCTTCCCTAAAGAATGCACTGAAATCTGAAGATTGAGAAAGACTTTTGGAGAGAGCAAAGGATGTGAAGAACATTCTAGGTATAAAGATTAGCATGTGCTAATCTGGACCCGTGTCCAGCTATGCCTAAGGCCATCCGTACTCCCGGATGTATTGGGTATTGACAACTTAAATCCCCCTTTGTTAATTCCAGTTGGCTTTTCCAAACCTAGCTTTCTTTTCTTCTTTTTTAAGTTGTGGAATGAGAACGGGTTACTAGCATTGCAAACTCTCTTTTGCTTGCTAAAAAATTGTATTAATCACTATTTATTAAGCAAGCAATACGCTCCAGGCCTGATGCTAAGAGTTTTATATACATTATTCCATTTACTCTTTATAATTCCCACAGAAGGCCGTATGCAGCAAGCACTTTTCATTAACCTTTTTTTTAAAGATTTTATTTATTTATTCATAGAGACAGAGAGAGAGAGGCAGAGACAGAGGCAGAGGGAGAAGCAGGCTCCATGCAGAGCCCAACGCTGGACTCGATCCAGGGTCTCCAGGATCACGCCCTGGGCTGCAGGCGGCGCTAAACCGCTGCGCTACCGGGGCTGCCCTTATTCATCTTTTTAAACACATAATGAAACTGAGACTCAATTTACGTGGCATGGCCAAGTTCCCTTAACCTAAGTTAGGAGTTGGCAAAGGCCAACTCCAGCTGCCGATTCCCTGTTTATATAATGGTTTATGGGAACACAATCATGCTCATTTATTGATGTATT